GCTCTATCACTTGCCAGAAGCGGCCAACGGAGGCCCCCTCTCCTGCCATCTATCCTTCCTAACATCACCCCAGATTTACTTCTCCGCACATCCTACCTTCCAGAAAGTGGTCGCTTTTCTGTTCAGAGAGTTGTTGCTATTCTTTTCTTTGATCTCCTGTTGAGTTTGTAGGTGTTCAGAATGTTTTGATCCCTATTCAGCTGAATTCCTGAGACCAGACAAAATCCAGGTCTCCTACTCCTCCGCCATCTTGCTCCCGAAACTCTTATTCTTTATTATCAAGTATATGACTTGATATCTCAATGCATCCATACTTTTAGCAACTGGATGAGGGCCCAAATCTTTGTTTCAAATGTGCTTTTCATATATCACCCACATATAGAATCTAAGTACACCAAAGGAAATTCAGATTGTGGCTTTAAGGGTGACCACAACTGCCTGGTGATAAAAATAAGCTATTTCTAAGAGGAAGACTCCTTCAAATGGCTCTTTCTGAGGGGAAATAATAGTAATCTTTCAGTACATATATATTTTAAGTGTTCCTATGGACAAATGTTTAGTATCAGAAGCAGAGTAATGCTTCTTTCATTAAAATGAACTCAGAGGAAAATGGTTGATATAGGTGACATGTTTTTTAGTAAAAAGTAATGATAAGAAATTGGAGGTCTTAGGTAAGTTGATGGGAATTCCAAGGCTCCCCTCATGGATGTTCTGAATGATGACGACTCCAAGGACTGAGAGAAAGTAATAAATCATGGGAAGAGGTGAGAGGAAGTACTGTAACTTAGGCCAACACACACTGGACATCACTCTCAGTGATCCAATATGAATAAAATCACACTATGTTTTCAAAATAAAGAGTGAAATATAATATATAGCAAAGAGCTACAAAACATTAGGTATGTTCTGGTATTTTTTTTAAAAAGAAACATAAATGTAGCTGAATTTAAGTCACCTATTCTTCAATAGAGACCACAGTCCTTACTATCAGAAAATAAAATTTTTTAATCAATACATCTGCTTATTTTACTTATTTAAACAGCAGTAGAAATGAAGATGGTCTAAATTCAATACCTGTTAAAAGTCAGAAAGGAATGAAAAAACAAACAAGTTTAATAAGTCATCCACAGAGGCCCACTTAATCACCATAAAATTGTAGGAATGAATGTAAATAATTCATTTATGAATTATGAATTTACAGAAAAATTATGATCACTCACCTTATTTAGATACAGAAAGCGACAAAGAGAAACTGAACTACACAGTTTACTTGCTGAGTAAAAGAATGAAGAGTTTGAGGGGATTCTATAGATTCTTATTATAATAATTTTATGGATGAACATTTTTATTTCAGAAATGAATTAAATCATATTATAGCCTAAATGTGTAATCAATGCCTCAGAATGGGATATTAAAGGTATAGTCAGGGTGAACTTCAATTTACAACCCTATATAATATGTGGGGAGGTTGGCTTTATCAGTCAGAATCCAATCAGGAGATAAAAATCCACCAATAGTTTGAAAAAGAAAAAGTTAATATAAAGAATTATTAATTGATAAAAAAAAGGCATTAACCACTGAAAGAGGGAAACAGGGAGTAGTTCAGTGGTACAGAAGTAGCACCTATGAAGACAGTTATTGCCTATGGAGCTGAGAGAGAATGAACAAAGCAGGCATGTATAAATTTAGGAAAATTCCCCTCCCCCCACAACCACCAAGTCTAAGAGTCAGACATCTTTGGAGAGGTTGTGGCTACCACAGGAATTCTGGTGGAGACAGAAAGACATGCTAGAGTATACAGACCCCAGAGGGAATATATTACAGGCAGTCCTCTGATGTGGTCCCCCAGAGGGCAAAGGATCTTACCAAAAGTTTATAGGCTATAACTAAACCATGGGGTGAATACTACCAAGATCCCTGGGCATCAATCTGCTAAGTGCCACATGAAAAACAGCACTCTGGAAAATGGAACAAAGCCCCTGCTGTCCCGGCTCTGTAGTATCCTCCCAATCTTTTAAATTGACAAAGGCTAACATCAAGTGAACTTGCAAAGGAGAAATGTCTGTAGGATCCACCTCTGGTAAGTGTTTATGCTTACAGTCACAAACAATAATTTGTTGGTTCTTATTTCTAAATTGGGTTAATCATTATATCATTCTGATTTCAAACTATTCACTAAGAAATCATACTGATGGGATTGTTTACTAATTTAACTTTTTTTGAACTATAGATAAAGTATGTAAATTTTAAGTATGCAACTCAACATGTTTCTTACAAGTACATGCCCTCATGTAGCCACCACCCAAGACAAGACCCAAGTCCATAACTAGCACTCTGGAAGGCTCATTCTTGCTCTTGCTAAGTAGTGATCATTTACATTTTAAGTGTTCCCTTAAAAACCTTTACTCGATTTTTTACATGTTTAGTATAACTAATAGGAAAGACAAACAAAAATAATGCGTCCTTTTGTATTGGAGACTAAGCATGCCAGAAGCTACTTTTAATTTAAGACCTATTTCATTGTGTCATTTTACATTTCTTTCTAACAATGTCAAGGCACTTTATAGAAGTTATTGTGCTCCTCTTCTTTTTCTGTAAGTTGACAATAATTAGCAATTCATTTCTCACTATTCCAGAGGAAAAGGGAATGAAATTTAGATAACATAAGAGACTCAAATATCCCTCTGTTCTTTTGTACAGGAATAGAAATCGAATTCAAGTTTTTGAGAATTAACTCTTTTCCATACTCTTAATGTGAAAAAATTCTGCATTTATACAAACCAAATAACAAAAACCCTAAAAGTAATTTGGACTACTAAAGAAATAGTTTATATACATGTAAAAATAAAAAGTATATATTGTTTCTTCAAAACTCATAGCATTTAACATATCAACAAATGTGGAATGGATTTTTAGTTTATTATTTTATTACAAGTAGTGAAAGGAGAGTAACACATTAAGTAGGAAAAGAGGGATTTTTCTTATATTTTAGGTCAACATTAGAATTTTAGAAGTCTTCAAACTTCTCAGTTAAATAAATTTGACTAATTATTCAGTATGACCTCAGCAACCTCAGAGCCTCAAGAAATTTGATATTATAAGTTTTTCTTACTCCTGTGTACTTCTAGGTTTCTAAAAATCCATTTTAATATTTTACATTATTATCACATAAAATTTAGAAGTCAGCTATCATATTGAAGGTTGATACATTCAACTACTAATTTATTTTTTTCCTATGAGCTTTCCCTCACAAGTCAAAAGTCCTTAAATTTAGATTAGACTTCATAGCCTGAAGGTGGTGAGTATTTTTCCAGAAGGTTTTCAGATTTTTTTTAATGCCTGCCTCCACTGGATTTGGCTCAAAATTTTCTAATGGCAAGCATACTTTAAACAGCCTTGATTCCATGTATTTAATACATTATTTTACTTTATTGCTCTTCCCTAACTGAGAGCACTTAATAATACACATATTTTTAAAAGTTTTATATTTGGTAATATTTTGTTGGTTCTTTGTTTCCTGTTATAATGGGCTTTTAAAGATTAAGCGAATTTGCAGATTTCCCACACAAACACATCTGTACAGGACAGTGTGATATTAGAAGGCTCCTGCAATTAAGTAATACAACGTAAATGCTTTCTGCATTACCCATTTGTTGTATAGAAAATGAGGAAGCTTGCCAATGGGTTTATCTTAGGGAGAAAACTACTATTTTGAAATAAAATGCAAAGTTTACTACATGACCATATTTTATTCCTAGTCATGTTCAATTTGGGAGTATCCTCTTGCATTTATATTCAAGGAAATGATGTCAGGGGCTGACCTATTATTTTCCAAGACAAAGGTTATCACACACAAAATAAATAACTTTTTCTAGTTAATATATTCCCTTCAAGTGGTTTTAAGGAATTAACATTCTTTATAGTTTGATTATATGTACGTGTTTAAAATACTTAACAAAAATAATGCTGCATTTAAAATTTCGCTGCCTTAAGCATAATGTTTGCCTGTGTTGCTCCCATTTCCTTCATCCTCTTTTGGGAAGGATGTTTGGTCACCATACTCCTACACACATTGCTCGGTTATGCACCCTGATCTCAGGTCTCCTTGCCATCTCCCATCTACTTTTTATTATTATTCCAGATTTCTTCCTCTTCCTTCCTTCCTCCCCACCCACTCAACCCAACCACCCACTGAAATGCTCAGTTCTACTCTTCAGTAGGTTTTCAAAATTAGTACTTTCCCCCATTTCCCTTCAGAAATGCTTTTGCATGCCTTCTTCCTCCTTAGAGACCACTTGCTCACATCACCTTTACAATCATTCTCCAATCTCTACTTAGCCTTACAGAGGTTTAGATTGTTTCCTCTTCCTCCATTTCCCTTTTCATAACAAAACATTCCTTTGGAACGTACAGCTACCAGTCCCAAAAAGCAGACTCAGTGAACCAGTGCAGTAAGAGGGCTTTATATTAGATGAGAAATTTTGCAAAACTATGGTAATACTGAAATGCATTATGGTTAGTGCCTAGATGATTACATTTTCATTTGCAATGTGGACTTACTGCCAAGAACCTGAATCAAGCTTATGTGTGACAGCACACATTACCTAGGATTCCAGAGCTCTTCTGAACGACCATTGATAACTGTGATGCGAAGTCATATTATGTGCAAGAGTCTGGAGACTCTACCAAGGCATGTCATAATAAGAAAAATGGGAGGCAGTGTATTAAAGAGTAATGCCACAGTCATCACTTTCTCAACTTTTTTACAAGTTAGATACAGGAGGTGTGAAAAATGTATCTCTAATAATTTCACTTTTTTTCAAAAATGACTAGATTGTTTCCATTTAAATTTCAAATGAAACTTTCATCATTAATCTTTATAGGTTATAAAATAAGCCATGTTATTCATTTATTCATTCATTCAATATTTACTGAATACCTACTATGAGCAAAACACAATTCAACATAAATTATCAATAAAATCTTGATTTGCAACTTACCATGGGCCATGCGATGGAACCAGTAGTAGCCAAAATCAACTCCTAAGAAAGTTAAATACCAAGTCCATGGAGAATGCCAAGGCAAACTGATGAGCCTGTAGTTCTCCCAGATATAAATGTAAGTGGTCAGTTCGATGCTCCTAGAAAACAAGCTGGAAAAATAAAATTCACAGACAATGATTATACCACATTTTAAGTGTAAAATTATACTAAAACATTTTAGGTAACATTTAAAAATTAGGGTATTCATATATAAAAATAAAATTCTTTCTCTCTTTTTTTTCTCACTGTTCTATCCTACCTTTTAGAAGGCTCACTCTCACATGGTGCCTCATAGTTATCATGGATGCCAGCTATTTACACTCTCAATTTCATGGAATTTAGGATGCCATTCTTTTTTTTAATGTCTCTTAAAATACCTCCATGGAACCCATTCAACATAAATATGACAAAATTACAACTTACTTTCTGTGACCTTCCTTTACAAATCTTAATGAAGAGCACAATAAGGGTGCTTTATAAAGGAACTATAAAAAGTATAAAGTTTAAAGGGGACTGCAGAAATGCCTACTGCCTTAAAATATTTTAATCCCATAAAATTTGCCTTTAGATTAAAGTTGCTTCTGGCTATTCTCTTTATTTCTCTCTATTCCCTCCTTCTCTCTTTGGCACACACACATATACACATACTTTTATGTTTTTAGATGTTACAGTTAGGATCACAAATTGGATTCTCATAGCATTTCAATAATTCTTGTAGTAATATAAATTACAACTCTCAAGGTATAAGGGAATAATGTGTTCCTAGAAATAAAGTATAAAAACCTAGTTACCACAATAGGCATCACATTATACCAGAGTGCTATTTTTTTTTTTTAAACATCTTATTTGCTCACGTCAGAGAAGGAGAGAGAGCACAAGCAGGGGGGAGCTGCAGGCGGAGGGAGAAGCAGGCTCCCTCCTGAACAAAGAGCCCGATGTGGGACTCGATCCCAGGACCCTGGGATCATGACCTGAGCTGAAGGCAGATGCTTAACCAACTGAGCCACCGAGGCATCTCTCAGAGTGCTATGGTTGAGAAGATGAGAAACAATAGGTGTTGGTGAGTATGTGGAGAAAAGGGAACCTTCGTGTACTGTTGGCCGGAATGTAATTGGCACAGCCGCTGTAAAAAACAGTATGGCAGTTCCTCAAAAAATTAAAAATAGAAATGCCATATGATCTAGTTAAATCCACTGTTGGGTACTCACCAAAGAAAATGAAAACACTAATTTGAAAACATATATGTATCCCTTTGTTTATTGCAGCTTTACTTTCAATAGATGAGATATGGAAAAAACCCAAGTGTCCATCAGTAGATGAAAGGATAAACATAATGTGGTCAGTAGGGGCGCCTGAGTGACTCAGCTGGTTAAACGTCTGCCTTCGGCTCAGGTCATAATCCCAGGGTTCTGGAATTGAGCCCCGCATGGGGCTCCCTGCTCAATGGTTAGTCTGCTTCTCTCTCTCCCTCTGCCCCTCCCCACCCCACTTTTGCTCTCTCTCTAGCTCTGTTCTCTCTCTCAAATAAATAAATAAAATCTTAAAAGAAAAGTTGTGGTATATATATATACAATGGAATATTACAGGGCCATAAAAAAAATGAGATCTTGCCATTTGGGACAACCACAGATGGACCTAGAGAGGACAATGTTTAATGAAATAAATTAGACAGAGAAAGACAAATACTACATGATTTCACTTACATGTGGAATCTAAAAAACAAAATAAACAAAACTTTTAAAAAAGATTCATAAATACAGAGAACAAACTAGTGGTTGCCAGCAGTAGCAGTTGGAGGGATGGGTGAAATAGGTGAAGGGGATTGAGAGGTACAAACTTCTAGCTATAAAATAAATGTAAGGGACGAAAACTACAGCATAGGAAATATAGTCAATAATACTGTGATAGCTGTGTATGGAGACAGATGGTAACTACACTTATCATGGTGAGCACTGCATAATGTACAGAACTGCAGAATCACTATGTTATACAACTGAAACGAATATAAAATATGGTATGTCAACTAGACATCTATTTTAAAACACATTTTTTAGGGGCACCTGGGTGGCTCAGTCGGTTAAGTACCTGCCTTCAGCTCAGGTCATGATCCCAGGGTCCTGGGATGGAGCCCCACACTGGGCTCCCTGCTCAGTGTAGTCTGCTTCTCCCTCTCCCTCTGCTTCTCACCCCTGCTCATGCTTTCTCTCTCATGCTCACTGTCTCTCTAATAAATTAAATCTTAAAAAATTTTTTTTTCAAAAACTAGTTAAAAGAAATAATTGTTTTTAAAACCCTGACACCAGAATATGCCTTGCCACCTATGCTACCAAGTTTCTATACATTATTATTTCAAGAACTTTCCAAAAAATACATCATATACTTCAATTTTATTAAGTGTAGCATTTTCTCTTGGAATTATCTGTGATCAAATTTAAGTTTAAACTAAAGATAATAATGCCTTTATCACTTCTATAAATTTGGTTGAATGAATGTTTTCTTTATCTTTATCATTAATATGTAAAATAAATCAATCATTCTACTTAATAAAGATTCATTTATAAACCATGAACAAATGAGGAAATTGTTAAACATTCTAATTTTAAATAAAAGCTGAAGAAGCTCAAATTGGTTATGTTATTAAAATTCACCATTTTTTAGTAGTATTTCCCTCTACACAGTGAGTATCTGTGAATTAGCATGTAACTGAGTTTTTTGAAGATATGGGCCTTTAATTTTAATCTACTTTTAACCTTATGATATGACTATAACTATGACTTAATAACATTAAAACTGTTTCATATGTTGAATGCTTCAAGTTATTAATGTGTAACATAAAACACTGTAACATAAATCACTTCACAACAGCATTAATACAAATAATGAATAGAAATGTCAAATGCCTACATTTTTGAAAAGGACTACTCATTATCAGATCTTAAAACCCAATTTTCAATTTGATATTATTGTTGGTTCTTAAATTAGCCCCTCTATGTGGAGAGCAAGGAGAAACCAAAGAAAGTGGCACACCACTCCAGAACAGTGGGCGGTAGTTTTAATAAGCAAAGAAATTTACATAGAAGGCTTGTCTTGGGCAGCCTCAAGATACGTAGATCTCTGTACCTGCCTGCTAGTCACATATTCAGTCCAGATGATCTCAACACCTTACTCTCTGAAGGCTTCATCCTTAAAACAGCTGCTAGTACGGGAATAGTAGCAGAATATACACTCCAAGGACAGCAGAAAGGTAAGGAGACTCTGATGGCCTGAGTCCTGTTCGAGGGTCATCCAGTAGATACATCCTGTCAGTGATCTTCTCCAACAATTATTTGGCTAGAAAGAGCAGTTTTGTCCCTGAGTGTGAGTCTTGACCAAAGGAAACTGCCTATGCAGAATTCCTGCCACGACCCAGGCCATGCTCTGGATATTTCAGAATCCCTATCAGAATGGCTCTGGGCTGCTTGTAGGAGCTGCATGGGCCTCCTTCTTGGTCCAGTCCTCCAGAGAGCCAACCTATGCAGGTGTGTAAACTATCATACATGACAAGGTAATCCAGAGTTGCTGTTTTAGATATGCACAAAGAACCAGGACAAGCATTCTGGGATGTTCACATACAAGAGTTTGGGGTCTGTCATGAGCTAAAACAGGCTATGGGCCAGGGGCTCCCACACTGTTCTGGAACTCTGAGGAATCCAAAAATTCAAAATGTAAAACTTGTCATCCAATTTGTTATCCATATGATTTATTATTGTGCTCATGGCAAATTATGCTCAGAGACTGTCTTTGCTAATAATTTACTTAAGGCAGGTTTACTGTGGGAATTATAATTTATAATAATAATATCTCACAAGCCAGTAGCATACAGGATCATGCCTTTTAGTAAGTCAGTAAAGAAATAAAAACTCCAAACCAGTGACAGATTAATTACACTATTGTTTTAGGTGAAGGAGAGATGGAAGAAATAAAGTCCAGATTTAGCGAACCCTTTCTATGGGTTGGTTCTTGGAAGAATTAGCTGAGCCAACCAAGAACTGATGTCTAGCTGCCAGCACAAATTGAAAGTCCCTGTTGCTAGAGCACAGGGCTGGCAGAACAAAGGCACCAGTGTTGGTGGGCAAGATGATTTCTTTCATGGGGCCGCTGCAGTTTCCACCACTGCCAGCAAAGATTAGCCTTGCCATGGCAGGAGCTCATGTCCCACCGTCTTCAGCGAGCGATTTAAGTCAGCGAAGAGTAGCCTTGCACAGGCTGAATGTTTGCTTTAAGTCCTCACAAATTCTTGATATTTAAAGTTTAAATGTCCATTATATTTTATGTTTATATCAAAAACACTCATGAGCACAGCAATTATGATGACATTGTCCTGACAAGGCTTCCTCAATGTAAAGGAATTTACTCTTAGATTAAAGCAACTTCACTTGAGCCTTAAAAAAGCAGATCTGCAATCATGACAAACTAATATACAACATTTATCAAGGTAGGGATAGAACAAATTTTATCCTAAAGCATGTTAGCTTGGTTGGCAACTTTCACATATTTAGACAAGGGCTTCTTTAACAGTGTCATTGCAGACATTTATTCAAGATTGTGCTTTGTTGTTGGGGTCTGTTCCATGGAAACAGTTACTCAAATTATGAGATCTTAAAACTGATCCCTAGTATCCATTAATAGAGGATTAACCATATAAAATTCAACTTTTAGAAAAAAATAGTGAATAATATCAATTTTGTTTGGCTCAATCTAACAATTTTTCTAAAATAGGGATTCTAAACTTTGGTATTATTCCCATTTGGGCCATATAATTCTTTGTTGTGAGGGCCTGTCCTGTGAATTGTAGAATGCTTAGCAGCATCTCTGGGTCTCTATTTTTTTTAAAAGATTTATTTATTTTAGAGAGAGAGAAAGAAAGGGAGGGAGAGCAGGGGAGGGGCAGATGGAAAGGGAGAGAGAATTCCAAGCAGACTCCTCACTGAACACGGAGCCTGATGCAGGGCTAAATCCCACAACCTGAGATCATGACCTCAGCCGAAACCAAGAGTCAGATGCTTAACTGACTGAACCACCCAGATGCCCCCCTGGATCTCTATTTACTAGATACTGGGAGCACAGCCCT